TGGTAGAGTAGTGGCTTGTGGGTCTCGACAGTTGAAGACTCACGAGTACAACTACCCTACTCATGACCTGGAGTTAGCGGCAGTTGTATTTGCCTTGAAGTGTTGGAGACATTACTTGTATGGTGAGAGATTCGAGGTATTTTCAGATCACAAAAGTCTCAATTACCTTTTTTCCCAAAAGGACTTGAACAACAGACAGAGGCGATGTGTTGAATTCTTGGAGGACTACAATTTTGACTTGTAGTATCATCCGGGCAAGGCGAATGTGGTAGCGGATGCCTTAAGCCGGAAATCTCGTGGAACTTTGGCCAGTTTAGCTATTCGGAAGTGGAAGATGCTTGAAGATCTAGCAGAGATGGGATTACAGTGTTGTGATGATGATGTTTGCAGTGAGTCGGCGTTCTTATTTAGTTTTGTGGCTCAGCCTACTCTTGTTGTACGAGTAATTGAGTCACAGAGACAGGACCCGGACTTAGATGCCATCTACGCTTTGATCTCTAGTGGTGAGACAGTGAAAGATTGGGCCTTGCATGCAGATGGGGGTCTACGGTTCAGGGGTTTGTTGGTGGTTCCCACATGTTGTCGTGAGGACGTCCTACGGGAGTTTCACACTTCCCGCTTTGCAGTTCATCCAGGTTGTACTAAAATGTATCACAATTTGAGACGTTAGTATTGGTGGAGCGGGATAAAGAATGATGTTGCACAGTTTGTGGCTAGATGCCTTACCTGTCAGCAGGTGAATGCCGAACATCAGAGGCCAGCAGGTTTGTTGCAACCATTACCTGTAGCGCAATGGAAATGGGAGCATATTGCTATGGATTTTGTGACAGGTTTTCCAAGGTCAAGAAGAGGCAATGAGGCCGTATGGGTCATCATTGACAGATTGACCAAGACGGCTCACTTTTTACCTATTAAGGCAACAGATGATGCAGAGAAGCTTGGTGTTCTTTATGTGAAGGAGATTGGAAGGTTGCATGGAGTTCCTGTAACCATTGTGTCAGATAGGGATGCTAAGTTCACTTCGAAGTTCTGGGAAGGACTTCAAGTAGCGTTTGGTTCAGCGTTGCATCTTAGTACGGCATTCTATCCACAGACGGACGGTCAGTTGGAGCGTACTATCCAGATTTTGGAGGATATGCTTCGGGCATGTGTGCTTGACTTGGGTGGTAATTGGGAGGATCACCTTCCACTTATTGAGTTTGCCTACAACAACAGTTATCAGGCGAGCATCCAGATGGCTTTATTTGAGGCGTTGTATGGTAGACCTTGTAGGTCTCCTGTTTGTTGGACTGATGTAGGCGAGATAGCCGCCTTAGGACCCGACATTGTACTCGAGACTACTGAGAAGATTAAGTTGATAAGACAGAGGTTACTTACAGCTCAGAGCCGACAGAAGAGCTATGCGGATAAGCGGAGATGACCGTTATCCTTTGAGGTGGGAGACCACGTTTTTCTACGGGTTTCTCCACGGAAGGGATTGATGAGATTCGGAAAAAGTGGCAAGTTGTCGCCACGATTTATTGGACCGTTTGAGATTTTGAACCGAGTAGGAGAGGTTGCCTACAGGCTTGCTTTGCCACCACAGTTGGATAGGGTCCATAATGTTTTCCATGTATCGATGTTACGGAAGTACGAACCGGATCCATCTCACATTTTGAGTTGGGTAGATGTGGACATTGATGAGGATGTTTCCTACGAAGAAGGACCAGTTCAGATTCTTGACACACAACAGAAGGTGTTGAGGAAGAAGACGATACCAATGGTGAAAGTCCTTTGGAGATACCACGGAGTCGAGGAAGCTACTTGGGAGCTCGAACAGGAGGTTCGGTCGAAGTACCCAGCGTTATTTTCTTCCTCAGGTATGTCTTGATTTCGGGGACGAAATCCTTATAAGTTGGGGAGAATGTGATGTCTGTGTATTTATTGTGTGTGTGTAGTGTAATATAAAAGTAAAAGAAAAATAATTTAATGATGGGGCCCACAAGGCACTTTAGAAAAGGGTCAAGACCATAAAGTTGGTCTCATTTTCCTGATTCCCTTTCTCTCTCTTCGTGCATCTCTCTCTCAACCCGTAAGCTCATTTTTCTCTTATTTTTTTGGTTTAAACTTTGAGGTTAGATTTCTCACTCATTTCTTGTTGGAATTAGGTTCCGTTTGAGGCAAAACGAAGCTTGTGTCGAGCTCTACGCATCCATACCATCAATTTCCAGTTTTGAGTCTTCCTTGGAGCTCGAATTTGAGGACCCATTTTCTAGGGTTTTGGTGCAATCTTGAGGTAGGGGCCCTTAATTCATGAAATCTTGTACTTTAGTGAGTTAATTGCCTCTAATTGTTGTTTAATTTGATGAGTTGTTTAAAATCTAGAGAATTGTTGATATGTATGCATATATGTTAGTTGTGTGACTATATGTTAGTTGTGTGACTATATTTGTTGATTGTTCTATGTGAAGCATGTTTAGGACTTGATTATATATGTTCATTGTGCTAGAACTTGTTATGTATAAGCATGTTATGACTTTCTTGATTATTCTTGCGAATTATGCCATGTTGCTTAAATTGGATAAAGTATGGAATGATGAACTTGTGTATGTCATTGAGGTATTCATGCATTGACATTGGGCAGGAAAAGGGAAAGAATTGATTTACTTCAAAAAGGGGAAATTTCGGGAAAGTGTTTTTGATGAAATGATTTTATGCGAAACCCGGTCGTTGCGGGGTTACCAACGGGCCGGAGGTTAATATAGCTTAGAGGGGACTAGGGAGTCGCCCTAGTGTGGTTGAGCTAGCTGGGCCCCATAATGACGCCGCGGGGTTACCAAGGGTCAGGGACACTAGCCAATCCTCCTCTCGTGTCGCGGCGGGGTTACCAAAGGGCGGACTGTATTAACATTTGAAAGTGATGGTTTTGAGAATGAAAATGGGGAGTGTCATTGACATGCATTGCATTGCATTGTTTATAATTGGAATTGAATTGTATGTTGTATTTGATCCCTTATGTTGTATGATCCCTATCTCCCATTGGCCTATGCTTTGCTTGAATTCACAAGGATACAAGATTTGTGTCTTAAGTGTCTCTGCTGAGCTATATGCTCACCCCTATATCTATATATTTTTTTTTCAGGTCTTGGAAAAGAACCGGTGGACGACAATCCACCCCAACTTGAAAGTTGTTAGAGGAGCATTTTCCTTGTTATTTGTAATAGACTACTCCTTTGTTCATCCCTCATTTTTTTTAAAATTCCAAAGGTGTAATGATGTAAATTTCTTTTGAAGAACCATGATCATGTAATACACTTATGATACTTGATGACATATAGGATGCGAACTTGATGATATGTAACTTGTTGATGAATGGAAGGATAATCCTAACTTGAAGCATTGTCTAGATTAGTAGGTTGTATCATTATCTTTTGTTGCCGTGAATTCGGAAATTAGTTGCATGACAGGTTAAATATGCAATTAAACAGGTTGCGGTAGGTCCATTTTTAGGGGAGGTTAGGCTGAATTTTTTTAAAAAAAAAAAAAAAATTCTTGGCATCAGTTAGCGTCGTTACATCTCTCTCGAAATCATGACCTCAAAATCAAACAAAATAAGAACAATCAGCGGTAGTGATCTACCTGATTCTGCTCAAAATAGTTTGGTAGGACATTTGCTCCCGCACTTAAGGGGTTACTTCTTCTTCTTCTTCTTCTTCTTCTTCTTCTTCATTTTTTTTTTTTTTTTTTTTTTTTTGTGTCAATTATTGGAGTAATCAAACATGTTTTGTTTTCAAAATTTTTGAAACGCATGAACTACCAAATAATATTTTACATGTTTCTGTTTTTGACATTTCTAAAGTAAAATATCGTTCCCAAACGTGTTTCATTTTTTTTTCAAAACACTCCTACAACAAAAATATTGTTTTTGTTTTAACTAAAAACAAAACGCCTAAAACAAAGCGCATGCTAAACCGGCCCTAAATTTATTAAAGTTTATATTGGCATGCAACTCGATGCAATTTTTGTGGACGCAAACTTAGAGTGGGAGAACAATACGTACATGCATGGGTTTAAGGGGGTCTGATTTAAAATAATTCGTTTAAAACTAATTAGGGATGAAATTCGGACGGGTTAGTTCTGATCAGTTGTGACAAAACTCTAACTCAACCTAAAGGAGAAAATTAAGCCCCAGACCTTCCATTGAACTTCCCTCCAACCCAAGTCTAACAAACTATTAACTTTGTTTTTTTAACCTAGGTTAGGCTTCGCTTTGAAAAATTGAGTTGATCTTTGTCCCAAAGTTAAGCTATTCATATCAATATAAAGAATTTGAATTAGAAAATAAATATATTGAATATTATAAATGACCACACAAATTAAAATATGTATAGAATAAGCATTCGTCCAACATTTTTAGCACAAGACAACCTCATTGTAAAAATAATTATTCAAATATGAGAAGAATTAGGTTAAATTTGAATTAAAAGATAAAACGTTTGAATGTTGAACAACTCCTAAATAACCTGATAGGAATTGTTCAAATGACTTGATAATTTTCTATCAATTAGACCATCGAATTGCACACGACAACCCTATGAATGTATGATTTTAATCATTCATAAAATGAAGTAGTTCCAATATTAAGCTCACAATATTCAGCCTGATTAAAGTTCTTCTTGGGACTTTTATGGTTATTCTTGTAAAAAATAATAAAAACTATAGTTGATATAACAATTAATGAAATAAAAACCCTAATAAAGAGAGTTAGCACAAATATGGGTAGCATAATAATAGCATCTCTCTTAACCTTATTAGATTTTGATGGGTGAGGTCCACTTTTATTAACAATATACGGTTGAATTTACTAGCTTCAATCCGGTTGCAACATAGGTTAAAGCACAATAACATAACTCAAATTCTTTTGTACTACATGAAGATTTTTTTGTAGACTTTTGTACAACGTAAACGTTACTTCACTGTACGATCAAACGACGTTTATACATAACAACCAATCTAGTTAGAGGGACTCACATTCCATTTTCCACCACACACATCTCATTTCCATCCCCAAACTCACACTTCCTAGAGAGAGGGGGGGAAAGAAAAGACTTTTAGAGAGAGAAAGAGAGAGAGGTCAATCCCCCGGAAATGGACGACGCTCACATGCACGGCCCATCCCCGCCAACATCAAACGGCACGGCGGCAACCACCATGCAGAAGCACCACTCGCTGATGCACATGACCTTCTTCTGGGGCACGGACTCCTTGATCCTCTTCTCGGGCTGGCCTGGGACCCGCCCCGGCATGTACGCGTTGGCCCTTGTCTTCGTCTTCGTCCTGTCCGTCCTCGTCGAGTGGCTCTCGCATTGCAACCTGCTCAGGGATGGGTCCAAGGACGTCGGAGCCGGGTTGGTCCAGACTCTGATGCACACGATTCGGGTCGGATTGGCTAACCTGCTGATGTTGGCTTTGATGTCCTTCAATGTGGGGGTGTTTATTGTTGTCCTAGCGGGGCACATGTTGGGGTTCTTGTTCTTCAGAAGTAGGGTTTTCAAGAAATCGTCGCACTCCGGGAAGACCACCGATCTTCCGCCGATGAGTTGTTGATGATTGGAATATGCATTTGGATGTTTTTATTTTCTTTTATTTGATTAGTATTATATTTTCTTTTTATCAGTCTTAAGGTTTGTGGGTAATTTGTGTTTTGAGTGTTGGAATGCGTAATTTGATGAATAAAAAATAAATAGATTCATGTTCAATTGCATTGAATTGGTGTTTTGAGATTGAAAATAGGGGGCTAAATTGGGTTTAAATTTTAAATTAAATTTTATTCCATTTCAATTTAAAACCCTAACAAATTAGTAATGGAAATAAATTTCCAATAATTTATAGGAAATCAAAGATTATTACAAGTGATGCATGAAAAACAATTAAAAAAAGAAAAAAAAGAAGATATAATTTGCCCAATTGCCCTGTACACACTGTGTTTGAGAAGAGATTAATGGTTAGTTTACTATTCTCTGTCCCACATTAATTGTTTTGCGAACCACATTCCTCCGAGGCTCTTCCTTATCCTCTAGAGAAAAATCAAATTTGAATCATAACGTCCTTATCTGATTGGAAGGGACATTGCAGTAGTCGACTAACAAGACTTTGAATCATCAACTCTCTAATAAGAGAAGATCATTTGACCGATTCAAATGAGCCTCTCATGACTCAAAATAAAGAACAATTCTATCACGGTTCTGGTTGCTCAACATGCATTGTACATGTCCAGCCCACAAAAAAATTGTGAACATTTATCGTTTAAGGTATGGTTTTAATTTCCAAACACAAAAATTTAATTGCTCAAACTTTAGTTTTATTTAAAAAACCTCTTATTCACAATTTAATTGGAGCGGTTTGGCTAAATCCTATTATGCTCTGTTAAAAAATTTATCATATCAACTCCGCCTCTATTTCAGAATAGGTTTGTAATTGGTATATCATCCACGTCCCTACTTTGACAGATAAAATACCGACTATGTACTATTTACTCCATTTAGTTGAGGGCCGGGACGGGTTATGCTATTTTATTATTTAGTAAAAAAGAAAACTAGCTCAATAGGTCAAATTGAGCTGATAAATAAGTTGACTCACCTTTTAAATTACTAAATGGTGAATATTAATATATTAAGTGACACTTCAAGCAAAGTAACAAAGGTCTTACAAATATTAAATATATATTTTATACATATATTATTTTAAAGGTATATATATATATAAAATCGGGTCCGGGAGGGCTGGTTCATCACTAAATTATCTGCCCCTGCCTCCAAACCCGTTTCGGGTTTTCAACTGTTTTATCATACTCGTCTAACACCCATTTAAGGGACTACCAAAACCATTTCATTAGGGGTGGGGCAAAAACACGCGGGGTATGAAAAAATTGTCTTCCTTGTTGACAGTATTTTTTGAAATATATGAAAAGTCAAATTAATAAACATTTTAATTCAATAGTTAGATAGACAGTTCAAAAAAAATTATTAAATGACTAATTTGACTTTTCACAAAATTTTAAAAATTGTCTTAATTCTGTAGTTAATTAAGGAGATCTAGCTCATGCCGCTTATTGTAAGATTGGTTTCATGAGTGGAGTGGTGTAATATGCTGCAACCATAAGAGTTCCATCAACTGATATGAGCTCTTCTTATTTTATTACTGAATTAAGACAATTTTTTTAAAATCTGTAAAAAGTCAAATAAATTATTTAATATATTTTTCATTTTAATGAATAAATAAAAAAAGAGCTCAGACCTTTTTACATGAGTAAGTAATTTGTTTAGCTTGAATTCAGTTCAAGTAGCAAAACTGTTACATAAATTATTTTTTAATGAAACCTTTGAATTGTAATTTAGAGTTATGAAATCATCATTTTTGTAATTAATTATTAAAATTTTAATATATCATACATACTTTACAGTAGAAAAAGGATTGGTGAAACGAGATTCATGCTAACTGATTATAAATACTTGGACCTACTGAATGATATATAGTAAAAAATTATGAAAAAGCCGTAGAGTAAAACCAGTTAAAAGATTTAGTAATTTGCTACAACAAAAGCAAGCAAATTTTCTTGCATACATTTTATTAGAAAAATTATAGTACAATACTATTTTTTTTGTTAAAGAGCATGAAGAATTTACATAAAAAGAAAATAATTTTTCTTGTGTTTTTTAAATAAATAAAAAAAAATTACTGAAATTTGGGTTTTGATTGTTTTTTAAATTCTTAAAGACTCCAGCTGAAGAAGAACAACAATTTAATGCTTCATGTGTTACCAGTTAATAAAGCCCTAAGAACGAAACGCAAACATCCAAGTCGTTGTAGTATGGTGGTAAGTATTCCCGCCTGTCACGCGGGTGACCCGGGTTCGATCCCCGGCAACGGCGAATTTTCCCTTTTTTTTTTTTTGTTATTTTTTTCCCCCTGCTCTCTCTCTCTAGCTCCAGGCTCTTCCTTCACTTGGAAGAGACGGTACAGTATTTTAGATTCCAATTTATAACTTCGACGCCACTCCTCACCGCTACCAAAGCAAAGAAAACCCCAAATCAGAAAAGGAAAATGCGAGAAAAGCCGAGAAAATTCCAGAACAATAAAGAGAAAATGCTGTTAGACCCCTCCGACGAGCAGCCAATGAACGACGTTCCTCGCCGCCAACTCACCACTACCAACATCCACATCATGGCCTTCGACGGCATAGTTAACGTCAACTCCCTGTTCACGATAGCGCTCTTCCTCGGCCTCGCCCTCAACCCCACCGATCCCAAATATACCCTCGTCGATACCACCACCACCTGCGCTGCCTCCTCCGCCGTCGCCGAACACCTCGTCTCCTTCCAAATCTACTCCTTCAGCTCCTTCCTCTTCTCCAGCCTCATCGCCTTCGCTCTCAAACAGGCCATCCAAACCGCCTGCGACGGAGACCTACAGTGCCGTGGTGTCCACACGGCGCACGTTAGCACGAAGGCACTGCGAGCCGGGATTCTGGTGTCGGCGGCTGGGTCAGCCTCCGGCTGCGTGTTTCTGACGGTGGCGCTTGTGGATTTGATTGAGATAAAGCTGGGGAAGTTGAGTTGCTGGGGATGGGAAAATTTGGCCGCCGTTGGGCCTCTGGTGACCTTAGTACCTTCTGGACTTCTCATTTACATTTGTATTGTGTTACATGCCTTCACTCGCTAGAACATGATACATATATATATGAGTGTGTGTATTATTGTGTATGCCTGCGGAATTGGAACTGAATTTGTATATAGAACTATGAATTACGCTTCTTAATGCTGGAATTGACGACATCCAACCAAAAACGTGGACGGCAGGATTCGAACCTGCGCGGGCAGAGCCCACATGATTTCTAGTCATGCCCGATAACCACTCCGGCACGTCCACTTGATGTTACAGAGGACTTCAAATCCAGATTATAATATCTGTTAATCAGAAGTTTTATGCGACTAGATCATTCCTGATGGTTAAGAGCTTACAGTCGTTGATTAATTTTTTAAAAAAGTTTGGATTTATCCATTTTTACCATGCATCAAGTATTATTTTTTCCTTTTGTGTTCTTTATTTTACTAGAAGATTAGTTTTTGTTAATTTTGGCAATTAATTCACAATCATCCCTTCAATAAGTCTAAGCTTTTAAAGAGGGAATGTGATTGGTGAGTCTAAAGCCTAAACCCCCTAAATATACTTAAAATCGTGTTTCAACAAACATAACATAATTCAAATGTGTTGAAAATTCCTACAACAAACTCTTCTATATGGATCAATTTGAGCACATAGTATTTTGACTTAGAATGTAACTATTTAAGTTAAAATTTCTCTACCAACTTAATCTTTTAGGAATAAATCGTGATTCAAATCTAATCCGCCCACTCAAGTAATTTGATCATACATGTTTAGGACTAAATCATGATTCGAATCTAATCCGCCACTCAAATAATTTGATCATACATGAATTCTCAAGTCCTTTATTAGAAAAGTTATTGGAAGATGACCTTTTCATACAGTATCAAACTAAAAGAATTCAAACACTTGTTATAGACCACATTTTCCAAATTAAGATATATGTGTGTGTGTGTGTGTGGATATATATATATATATATATTACCTCTTTCTTTTTTTTTTTTTCTTTTTTTTTTTTTTTTTTTTTTTAAAAAAACATGGTACAATATTCTTATATATTGAAGACATTAAATTTGCAGTCACAATAATGCTAATCAAATAGGAAATTCCGTATCAGGTCCTTTGTTTGTGTACACAACAATAGGACTGGTCACACTGTGAGCTCCATCAAACCACACCAATGATGCAGACGCCATTGAACTTTCTGGTAATCCTCCTCCACTCACAGACACAACAAAACTCTTCTTCTCACGCGACGTCTCAAAGAAGAGACTAGTAGGCTCCACAGTGACACTAACACCATCATCACTGGTGACAACTTTTGAATCGTAACGGCTATTACCCAATCCCACATTTTTAACTTCCCTTTTAAGCTCAACGGTGAAAGGTTTTCCAGGTTCAACATGAACCACCATTGATGGGTAGTTGAGATCCTTGGGAGATGCATTAACATCACCAGAGCAAGTAAAACTAGAGCCTGCTATTGCTTCAACTTTCTTCGAGTCATAACCCATACTGCATAGCATTGAAACATAATCATCTTCAAAGGCTTCGTAGACTAGACCGGGATGGACGGCTGACCCTGGATTGATATGACCAGCGCCATAAGCAAACTCGTGAGAAGGATGTCTACTTGCATCCATCGCGGAAGCTGTCAAATCAAGAAATCAGTATCGGAGCATAATGTTTACTGACATTTAGGAACTTGTTCAGAAATACCATAATGAAAGGAACCAGACCATTCAGTGAGGAAATAATGATATTTTTTTAGTAATTTCAGGGGGGAATAGTAATATTTTAGGGGTATATAACTAAAAAAGAATAATTTAGAAAGGTAAATTAGTAAAAAAAAAAAAAAAAATCAGTGGGGCAATTCCCCCATCCTAATGTAGGTCAGTCCCTGAAACAAACATAGGAGTTTGTCGCTAGGTATTTGACTAAATAGGATCGTCCGGTTTTCTATAGAACCTATAATTAAATTACCCCTAGAGGGGGATAAGGCTAAGTGGAGCAAAAAAAAAGTTTTTCATGATATGGGAAATGAGAACTATTACTAGTTCACATTTGTCTCAGTGTCTTTGGGTCTTAATTCCAAGCCTTAGGTCAAGGTTTCGAGACTAATAGAGAGAATAAAGGGAAAAATGAAAATTTTTAGCCCCTCACGAGGTTTGTGAATAAGTGATTGTGTGACGATGAGCACAAAATATCTGTCTTCCTACTAAACATGATGTATTGAACTCATAATGAAAATTTTTAGTGAGAATTGCATAAAAATCGAGCAATTAAACTTATGTGACAGTAATTGGGAAGATTATAAATTACCAGTGGTCATGAGAGCAGATTTAATGGCGGAAGGAGACCAATCCGGGTGAAAAGTTTTAACATAAGCCGCTGCACCGGTAGCATGAGGGCAAGACATGGAGGTCCCAGACAATATGCTATATTTCACAGACCTTTTATCTTCAGAGGTTCCAGAGGGTGAAGCAAGTGGCGAAAATGCTGCCAAGATATCTACTCCTGGAGCACTTATATCTGGCTGTAGTATATATATCAATCGACATATATGTTAATTAGTTATATACAACATTTAGTACATCAAAATTATACAGTTCTATAGATTGCTTAAATGTTACATTACATTAGATTTGTCAGATGATAGGATTGAATCAATACTTAAAAGTATTTTTCACATCATATTTACAAAAGTGCAAGGAAATTATTTATACATCAAACGGAAGCTAGGTTACAAGATGAAAACAACCCCTAACATGTTGATTCATGATGCACAATGTGATGCTACAAACAGGGCTAGCCGATATTTAAACGCAACAATCAAACCTTCAAAATCTCTGGTGCAATGTTGTTCGGCCCACGCGAGGAGAAGGAATCGACAGTAGGAGCAGCAGCATCTGTTATCACTTCACTGCTCAATATGGTGGCTTGTGGATTTCTGTGTAAACAGAACTCAAAGCAATGAATGGTAAAACTAGAGATTGAAGTGATACAATAATTAAGTGCATAATGTGACACACTCAATTGATTAAACAAAACAAATCAATCCTCTATCTATCAATTTTGTTGAATTCAACCTTAATATACATTCCAGCATCGAAATTCAAATTAATATATGGGTAAATTATACAGCAAATAATACAAATTAGTATGTGGGTAATTATATATCATTAGAACAATCCTTACTCTGTTGAAATCATGTAGGTGTCCAATGAAAGGAAGTCCTGGTAGCTTAAACCGGATGTTGGGAAGGGAACCACATTATTTTCAATGTTTCTCACAATTGACCCCATGGCACCAGCTCTAAGAGCTTCACTTGTGTCCTCTGGCTGGAGACATACCACGATCTTTCCCCTCGCTAATTCGCTGTCCAGACAACCATCACAGCAATTCCTGATCATATGCAACAGTGAGGCCTCAGTGCAGTTATATATTTGGACTTTCTGGTATGATGAATTGGAACTAGTACTACTAGTGAATTTTAGAAATGCACAAGAAAGCAGAACGTACGTTGTCCCCTTCATATCGATATTTGTACTTGCATCGCCTCCATTAATAAGAGGAAATTTTGTTCCATCAAGGGTGAAAGAATTTATGGAGTTGCCCTGATAACAAATAAAATTATGGGTGGAATGCTGATGAGAAATCGAAATATAATCATACGAAAAAAACGAGAAAAACGGAGAAAAAAAAAAACTAGGATGCATGTAAAGGTAATGGGAATCAAAATAGGCCTATGCTGAGTTCTATTCTTCCCTTGCTGATGAAAGATCCACAGGAGAAAACTAATAGGAATTGATGTAATTTGTAAGATAAAACAATTAAAAGATAAATTAAGTAAAATATCTACATGTGGAGTAAAAGGACCATGAAAAATACTAAACTCAAACAATGAAGCATCTTTACTAATGTTTTGGGACGCTAAATGAATCCCGTTTCAGTACCATTCTCGAGATTCATGTTTATAGAAAATGGTTTGTTCCCGTAGATTGAAGAATGGAAGGAAAGGAAAGAAGATGCTATCTTTTCCTTTCCTCTCCCTTCTACTTGTCCAAACACACAAAAATTTAAAAATTTATGCCATTCTTCATCCACCTAACTCAACCCTCCTCGTTCCCAGATTTGGAACTGACTATATAGGATTATGTCATGATAATAAGGGATATAATTTGAGGTTTGAAAGTTATGTATTCAAGCAATCTAAACATACTTACAACCAAAACTGTTCCATTCCCAAGAATGACCCTATCGATAATCTGGCGATCTGTGGTGCTGGCTGCTACAGAGAGCATCCACGGAGCAACACTTGATACAGTCGATGGAGTAGGACCACTGTTTCCAGCAGAATTCACGGTGAGAATACCTTTCACCATGGCATGAAAAGCACCAATGGCAATGCTATCCTCGGCAAAGTCTCTTGCAGAATTTGCCCCTAGAGAGATACTAATGATGTCCACCCCATCAGCAATGGCCTGATCAAACGCGCTGAGAATGTCAACATCCGAGCAACTTGCCCCATCAGAACAGACCTTATACGCAGCAATCCTTGCTGATGGAACCCCTCCTCTTGCATTTCCTTGTGCCAGTCCATAAAAGCTCACATCTGCTACTTTATTCCCGGCCGCAGTTGAAGCAGTGTGACTACCGTGACCGTCAAAGTCCCTTGCAGAATTGGCTTCATCAGGTGGGAAATATTGAGCTCCAATTATCTTACTGAAAATGTACATTTCATATCATAATTAGCTTTATCGAAGCAAAAACACAAATATATACATATCCTTGCGAATGCACATATATATCATCCAATAAAGCATTTTCAAAAACATATATGAATGAAAACACATTATAACTCATAGGAATAGGAAAAAGAACATTAGCATTACTTGTTGCAAGTGAAATTCTTGCCACCTCTGCAAGTACCCTTCCATTTCACAGGGGGAGGACCGAAACCTTCATCGTTGAAACTCTCAGACTCGGGCCAGATTCCACTGTCAAAAACCCCAACAATTACATCACTTTCGACTATGGGATTTCGTTTCACGGCATCAGTGAACCCCATGAAGTCCCAAGATCTTGTTGTATGAAGTTGGAGCGCTCTGCTAGGGAAAACAGAAACTACTCTGTCCATGCCTGCATATCATTGTTGTTGTTTTCAGGAAACAAACTAGTCCTCTGGTCCAAAGCATCAAATGGTGTTGATTTTCTTTCAAACTACACAAATTTAAGACATTGCAGCACTCACCGGCAAGCTTTCTTCGCTCCTCATCAGTTAGTTTGGCTGCGAATCCATTAAAACTCCTATAATAGCTTCTGACTAGGAAATCAGCTGTGGTACTGGATTGAGATGATAACAGAAATGATATCAAAAAATATTTCTCTATGACAATTGCTTCAAATTTGAAATTAAAGCAAACTTATGGGGGCATTAAACCTTCTCAAACTAATCTTTATATATATACAAACACACATACATATATATAGATTAGTAAGGTTTACCTAGCTTGAAGAACTTCTTGAAGAATACTGAGATGGTGAAATATAGGTGAAAAATAATCATCTTGAGGAAGTGAACCCATGTACACAATATAATCCTGTATATATCGTCACAAGTAATTGTATTAATTCACAACAATGTTAATTCTTTTGTACATGTAATTATCATGCAAAAGATGATATATGAATTTATATATATAAGTAAATAAATGTATATATGATTCCATCTGCATAGCATGACAAATTTCCTCTGGCTCAATTCATAAAATAGTCCATTAATAGAAATATATATATATATATGTTAGAAGTTTTTGTTACCATCCTATCCTTATCAGTGGCACCAAGCTGCTGGATGTTGATGACTGCAACAGTTAGAACCGACATAAACAGTTTGAAGATAGCAACCATTGTTGAGTTTGCAAATATTGGAGAGGGCTTTCAACTGTATTTATAGTTTTATATTAAGGTTTTAAAGACGTTTAAGTCTAACTTTCCCTGAAGTTTGTCTAAACCATACATTCTGTGAAATTACCATTTTGCCCCGATGTCAAAATTTCGTCTAAAAGAGAGAAAAAAAATTGATGTTAAAATCAATTTACTCTTATACCCTCGTATGCTAAAGTAAATTTTTGTTTGCCTTCACTCCAAACTATCAGTTTACTCTCTCTATCTCTCATTGACTCCATACCTGAAACCTGCCAAAACAGGGTGAAGAGAATTATGAAGTAACCATCAAGACCTAAATACTTGGTGTTGGCTTCAATGTCAAACATGGCGTTGAGCGACCACAACGGAGTTTTTCCCGGGAACCAAACACTTATGGTTGAATAATAATTTGGACATCTGAATCAAATATAAAAGTCAGAAATCCAAAAGTGAATAATGATGTGCCAAACATCTAGACCTAATTAACCAAACATTGTAACTATGGTCAGATCGATAAAAGAGGAATAGAGGGAGCATTCAATGCAGTCATGTTTGGATCACCTGATTGATTGCCAAGCGTAGTAAATGAATGATTAATGGGATGACGGTTCATTTTTATTGCACTCCTTTCTACTCTGGTCGACTACTAGAATGAGAAAGTGAGATACAGACAGTGTTTGGTAAGAGTACTCAGTGGGAGAGAGAGACTAACCAGGTTTGCTTGGCGCACTAAGGTTAGACGGAAATTATTGGTAAAGAGAAATTAAAAGAGAAGTGAAGTGAAAAAGAAATTAAGTTTTCAACTTCAATTTGGTTAGCATGAAAACTTTGCAAGAAAATTATAAAATAGCTGTTTTATTGTTTGAATAGTATGTAACTTACCATAAAAGAAAAGGTAATGTTGAAAATTTACAAAACTTTATCAAGAAATCAAAAAAAGATTGTGTTTTTTGGAAGAAAATTTGGTAGGAAAATTAGGTAGTTATGGAAAGTAATTTTTCTCAAATTTTTCTTTTTTTTTCGCTAACTAAACTCCTAATATTAAAAAAAAAAAAAAAAAAAAAAAAAAAAAATTTCCTTTCTTTTCTTGCTATTTCCTTTTATTATTATTATTATAATTATATAAGTGGGTGTACATGCAGATTTATTGCCATTCATTGCAAAAGGCCTCCAAAATTCACATAAAGTAAAATCTAATGTAACATGTTTGTATTAACATTTTTTTTTTTTCCTATGTTTGCTATCACTTGGTGCAGGCAATAGAAAGTCCCAACTCCCAAAATCAGCTGCACAGGGATAGAAATGTAAAACATGCTGAGGAGGGTTGGGCAATTCCTGAGAGTTTGGGCCCAGCAAGGAGTGTGTGGCCGGGAAGAACGGAAACTAAAAGCCTGTGACTTGGCTTGGGTTTCGGGCTTTTGAATATTAAAATTCAAATATTAATTTATTCATATTTATTATAAAAATTTAAGGAGTCTCGTTTAAACTAGGAAAATTTACGTATAGGTGGTAATAGCAAATGTATATTACCCAAACATAAACATAGTTTGCATATTTACCCTAACATGAACTAAAAGTCAAAGTATTTTATTTGAACCCTTTAGTATTAGAAATTATATTTTCACCCCCAAAAGTTTACTTTATGCACAATTTACCCAAATAACAACTTGTTCAAGTCTTCTAATTTTGTCAAACAGTACTTAGAAACTGCTACATAGCACTAGAATTAGGAAACACAACGCGTAGTCTACAAAGAAGAATCGAAGAACTTAGATCTAGAATTATAATAATACAAAATATTTTAAAAGTTAGACGGCAACGATTTTAGTTTATGAATAGAATAAACTTTAATAATTTAGATAACTCTATAAAACGACTAGGAGAGAATCTTGATTATATTAAAGAACAAGTAGTACAGAATTCTAGTCCAAACAATTTAGATAACAAGATAATATTAGTCGCAATTAAAGATATCAATAGTGATATTAAAAATATTGCTGAAAATCAAAAAATAATTATCGACTACTTAAAATCCCTTAAAACCGATATCCAAATGTTATTATAATAGTTTTATGAGCACTAGTAATCCTGATTATCTAATTGCGTTAACTGAACTTTACAAAATTGATAAAGAACCCATAGGATTTGCAAGTTTTAAAACAGACATATAATCAACTAATATACATATTAGACAAAATAATTTTTTAATCCAGTTATTACTCCAGTTATCTGATAAAGTTAATAAGCTTGAAGAGAAGTTAAAAGTGATACAAGAAAGTATTCCCAGAGAATCTTCTAAAGAATTATCTGAAATATTAGAAAAAATAAAAGAAATAAAGTTGTCAACCAATAACCAGTCCTCTCCTGCAACAACCAAGCGTGTGATTACTACAACCTCAACTTCATAAACGAGTACCATAATGGCCATTATCCTTAGAAAAGCCAAAGAAATAATGAGAGTAGAAGATTTATACGATAATGAACATGGTACTAAAAAATATATAGAAAAAAGAATGAAGAAGATAAAAAATAAAGTCAATCTTTATTCTAATAATTTACTAGACTTCCAGAGCAAAATATATAATCATTTTAGCCAAAGAAGAGTAAGTGCAGTTAACAATCAAATTATTCTAGACCTTATAACACCCGAACCATGTCAAGAATTACATGATAATAATTTAGAACTTATGCATTTAGGTGTCATAATGATAGAATTAGTAGGATTAACTAGAGCAGAGATCGGAACTAGAGCACTTGCTTATATTTACGATGATCGATGAAATAACCATCAACAAGCACAAATAGCCAGTGCTGAAATAGATCTAGCAGACAACGCAACAATAGTAGGATGTATCCCCAATTACACGATGACTACTAGAGAATTCAGTAAACATATTAAGATAGCTATATCCACAAAATGATACAATACGACTGGACAATTTGAAAACTTACTAGTTAATACTTTATTTATGGGAAAAACAGTTAATCAATATAACTTACAATTTAAAGCACAAGTCAGTGAAATAATTAAACCATTTAGTAGCAAGTATGTTCAGATGATGGAAGCTAAAAAAGTAAGTAGTGTTACCCATGAAGGAACAGAATGGAAATTACCTAAACTTACTACTACACCTAAAAATATTTCCGAAAATAATATGATATATGTTACGAATAACGGAGAAGCTAGTATAAGGTTTAGTAACTATAAGAGATAAGACAATCTAGTAGATGATACCCAAGAAGACTTTTTAACTACACTCATCGAAATAGAATCTCTTGAAGAAATAAATATCCTTTATGATATATTGGAAGATGAAATTCTAGAAAAAAAAATAATGTACGATTTTGATAATTTAGAGCTAGAAGCATTGCAAGAGAAGTATCCAGAACCTAAATACAAACTTATAGAAAGTATTTACTTAGGACAAGGAAATAATGATGATATTAAGAAAAATATTCTAAGCATAGGATTTGAATCCTTCTATATAGCATCAGATTTAAACACAGTAAAAGAAGAATTAAATGTAATAGAACATAGAGACGGAAAAGCACCAGAAGGATCAGAATCTCAGTCAATTGACCAAGAAATGATTGACCAAAGAAAGACTAATGCCTCAGGAAGTAATTCCATAAATGACGACTATACTACTGGACAAAGATTAAATCCCTCACGAGATACTTATGTCGAAAATAGAAATATACCAGAAATGTACACATGGACACAATACCGTAGACATTATGAGAATATACCAGCACAACAAGCAGGAACAATATTAGATATAGCAAGACATGATTCCCAAGATTGGGCAAAAGTAATCAAAAATTGGGAACAAGATTGTATTAAGCAATCTATTTTGACCAATTTTGACAATAGAATTCAAGCCCTAACCTATTGTGAAACCTTATTAAGAGGAACCATTCATGATTGGTGACAGCCCTATAAAGTAACTTATCCCAATGATTTTGCCCTCTTACGAGATAATTTTACAATTCAAGGCTTTACCAGCCTAATAAAAAAAGTATTAGTTGGCGAAGATAGATTACTAGATGACACTTTAATAAAGCAAAACGAAGCCTTACGTAATTTAGAATTATTGCAGATTTGTAACTTTAGATACATAAAAGATTACACCAATAAGTTTTTCGAATATTTTGCAGCCACTGGTAAAACGGGAGATAAAACATTACTCGATAGGTATCTTCAAAAGTTACCCGGAAGTATAGGAACAAAAATTTGGGAAAAATGGTTAGACAATGCTAGACGAGAAACGCTAACCATGGGAGATAGAGTTAATCATGTGTATAATATGCTAAAAGCAGAATGTAGATAATGAAAATAATCCAAACAAATCAAAAAATAATTTTATTATACGTGTAAACAAATAGATTTTCCACCCCAGTATAGTTATATGCCTCAGAAAAATTATAATTATAAGCGTAATAAACCTAAAAAATATAATCTACGCAAAAGTAAGACCTACAAGAACTATCATAATAAAAAACCTTATATCAAAACTAACCCTAGGCAATTTAGAAAGTGGCCTTGGTATAAAAAGTAAAAAATAAATAAAAATAAAAAGGATAATAAAGACAAAGATAATAAGGTAAACACTTTACCCACAAAAGAACAACATTGCAAATGTTTTATTTGTGGAGATTCAGGACATATAAG